GCCCCATGTTGGTGCCTTGAAGTGGACCCAGATCTTCCATGGGTGGTCACAGTTGGTCTGCCTGCATCTTCATAGGAGGCGTCGCTGTCACTCGCCTGGCTAACACTGGATTCCCTGGGTCTACCGCTACCAGACAGAGTTGAGGTTTGTCTGTGTCCAGTTCCTGAGTGTCTGGAGCTGTCTCTTTGCTGCCCATGGCGGCGTCCCTGCCTTTGGCCAGTGGTGAATGCGGACTCTCCGTGGACAGAATCTCTCTCTGTAGAGAGAACCCTGTGCCGTTGCTGATAGTCTGAGTTCCTAGAGATGTCTTTTGACCAGCCATGGTCCGACCAGTGTTGATTGTTTGACCTGAACCCAGTTCTTGGTTGAGTTAATGTGGATATTCTGCCTGAATCTTTTGGATGTTTTACATTATTCCTGTCCTCACTGATACTAGCGTTGTGTTCTTTCCCCCTTCTGTATTCTGAGAATCGTTTTTCTTGTTCTGTTGTTGACTGAGTGTGTTTGTTATCTGTGTTTTTGTGTCTGGAATCATTTTTTTCTCTTGAGGTTGCTGTTTCTTCAGTTTCATCTAATTGATTAGTAATATCGGAAAATACGTATGTTTTACCTCCATTGTATGAGTTGTTATATCCTGACTGTCTCCATTTTGCACCTTTTTGTTTTGTATCATCATAAACCAATGCTAGTTCTTTTTCTTCATTCCCCCTGATTCTTGACTTGTTGTGTCTTGTTGTTACCTCTGTAGATCTTGACCTCTTTTTATTTTTCCCACTTGACCCAGAATGTTTTTCTGTCCTTTCGTCTTCATCTATAGAATTTGAGTTATCATCTTTCTCTCGTTTTGTTCCCGATCTCGACCTATGCCTATTTTTCCCTCTTTGGCTCTTTGAGCTCACTGTGTCCCCTTTTTCATCACTTGGTGTATTACTGGATTTTCTCTTTCTTTTCTCTTCTGTCTCTTCTTGTTTACCTTCTACATCTTCATTTTCATTATCTTCATTCTTGTTATATCTGTGCTTTTTGTGCTTTTTCCCTGATGCTTGGAAATTTTGTCTTCTGGTAGACTCATAATATGCTTCAGCCAACTTGAATACCATCAGAAAAAATTCTGGAAAATCTATTTTCATGTTGTGATCTATATCAAGGTTATTCATAAAGACATCAGCAATATCTGGGTCATCCGGATCCTGTGCAGAGGGAAGACAGAGGGGGACAGTACATTGGACTGACTCACACTGTCAATTTAATAATTCCAAGTAAGTTTAGGGAACATGGATCTTGGTATAAAAAGTGGAACCAAGGCACTTGTTTTTTTCTTTTATGTTGTTTAGCTTATTGTGATCCAGCAGGATACTATAGGTACTGTACTAAAAGAAATAAATCTTAAAAACATATGGTCAAACAAAAAGATTTAATGGGGCAAGTGCACTTTTTCCTGTCTGAAACACAAATATTTTATAAAATTTATAATTGAATTTTGTTTTAAATATACCTAAACATTATTGACGTTAGGAAGAATATTATGAAGAACTTCTTTGTCACTAAATACATGTAATAGTTTTCCTCACAGAAATGGGTGTGTGTGCGTGCAGTCACCTGTGTAGGTGTATAGTACATAAAGGGAGGGAAGCAAATTACATCCGTTTTGAATTCAGATTAATTTTTTTTCCTATTGCAAAAGGAATAATTCACAGAGATCCCAGCAATTCTTCATCAGAATATTGATGCAGAACAGAAAGGCTATGCTCTACAGTCCTGGCAGATATCTTTTACCTGCAGGATTGGCTGAAACTCCACTTCCAGAAGTTCCTTCAGCTCTTTTTTGCTCAGTGTGTCAGTCTCCTTATCTGTGTTTGAATAATGGTGGAATAGATTGATGATGGCAGTGATGTTTTCCAGAAGAGTAGACATCTTTTGGGAAGTATATGTGAACCTAAAAGAAGAAGTTAAAATGTACTTATCTTGTGTTTCTGTTCCTCTTCTAGGTCACAACAATTATTGTAATGAATTTCCACATTTTTAAACCTGTATCTCCCCTAAGTTATCCAGCTTCAAAAATGGAAAAAGTCAGAAAAAACTTATACCATCTGCATATGAAAGTCAATACAGAGTTTCACTGAATTAGTAAAACTGCCAGTCTTTTTTTTTCTCTTGAACACATTCACAGCAGGATTTAGATAGCCTCACAGACCTCAGGATGCTCTAGATAAGATCAGTCCTCTTGTTGGTCTGGCCATTGTCCATAGCAGGATTTTAGAAAGGCCCACTGGTCAGCTGCCAGAAAACTTGCTCATACAAATTTGCTGAAAATCAATTCTATAAAAGCTAATATGCTAAATGGTCAGTGTATTGAGAGACAGTTTTCAATAAGCCAATTTGCCAAATGGTCAAACACTCAATGAACATTCACTCAATTTACTTTTTTTCCCCCTTCGAGAATTCATGAAGTTCACAGCATTTTAATTGGATAGCATGAGTTTAACTGATTTTCAATATTATAAAAAGTTTTTTGGATTGGCTTTCACTTTTCCACATAAGGAACAGCATTTAAAGATTACTTAGCTCATTGGGGAAGGAAATAAATTACTAAGTATGTTGGTAAATCCAAATGAGCATTTGTTTTACAAAAATGTTATATAAATTATATTATAAAATAATAATCACATTATTTTATTAAAACATAAAACCAGAAACTAAAATCCTATAGAAGACAATAATGTCAAAGATGTCTTTAGTAGTCAAGCGCTAAAGCATCTGTAAACCTTGCATTGTTTGGTAAGAGGTAATAGGTATTGATTAATGTTTGTCATGGTTGGGCATGTAAAGGTTGATAAATTGGACTGCATTGTTCATTCAAAGACTTTGTTAAGGAGAGAAGGAAAAGCCACTGAGTGGGAGGATATATGCAACACATTTAACCAATAAATTTCTCTATCTTGAATATAAAAGTAACTCCCATAAATTAATATAAAAATACAGAAACCACAACAGACAGATGGATAGACAGCAGAGGAGCTTTGCAAAAAAGGATATCTAAATGGCTAAGAAACATGAAATGTTCTCAATCTTATTATTCATTAGGGAAATACAAATTAAAATTACATTGTGAGACCATAGCACTGTCACCAAGTGACTAAAAAGACAAAATGGAAATATAACCTTCCTAGTAGCAAATATTGGTGAGGATTTGGAGAAACTGGATCTTTCGTACAGTCCTAGAAGGCACATAAACTGGCAGAAGTACTTTCAAAATCTGTTTGAATAAGTAAACCTAGTTACCCCCCCCAAAAAAAACAAACACAAGCAAAGAGAAAAATTTTTGACATTACCTAAGACCATCAATTTACTCCTAGGAATATTCACTATAGAAATATATACACATTTGTAACCCAAAGATTATGTACAAAATATTCATAGGCCCATTATTTATAATAGCCCCCTAAATGGAAACAACTCGAACATCTATCAATAAAAATGAATAAATGAATTGTGCTATTTCCATATAATAGTCAAAGGTGAGAGTGAAGGATAGCATTGACCAAGTGGTAGTGGTAGACAGGGGGACAGGTGGATTGGTATGTCTTATAGGCAGAGTTGACTGGACTTGGTGGTGAATCTGTGTGGTGTAAAGGAAAGACTGGAATCATGCATGACTTCTAGATTCTGACTTGAGCAAAGAGTTACTTTTCACTACTTATGTTATTCCATCATCTCTCTTCTAAACTGAAGTCCATCTCCCTGCTCGTACTGTTGCCTATTTTTCACTTAGCACCCAGAACAATCTTTCTACTCCTCCTGCTAAATACTTTCCAGTGGCTTCTCAGGTACTTAAAATAATGTACAAAGTCTACTATGCCCCTCTTTACATGGTCTACCCTGTCTAGCTCTCTGATATCACCATATTCCACTTGTTAAACATGCTCACTGCACACTAGCTTCTTTCTGTCCTTTAAAGTGAGTTTACTCCTTCTTTAGAATCCTCTCATTTGCCTTGGCTAGTTTCTCTGTCATTATGATCTCTGCTAAAAAGATAGTTGCTGAAAGAGGGCTTTCCTGGCCATCCGATCTAAAGTCCTCTCCTCCTGTATCTTTACTTTATCACTCTTATTTTCTTCATTGTTCATATCACTATTTGAAATTCTTATTTATTTATTGCTTAGGAAATGTCCCCCTCTATTAAATATAAGCTCCTGAGGGTAGGGAGTTTATGTTACTCACTGCTGCATAATCAACCAACAGCAGCATTTGACAAATAGAAGGTAGTTAATATATATTTGTTCAATGAATGGATGAATAGATAATCCAGCAATATTAAGAGAGTAGCCTCATAGAAAGCAAATTTATGCCCTCATTTTCCTTCAGTATCAAAGTTAACTTTTAGTAACATTGCTGCTAAAAATTAAGAACCCCAAACATCCATCTTTTTGCCTCAGAGTACAATACATCCAGAACTCCACCTTGCTTAATAGGTTAGATGTATCCCCTCTTACTTACGTCCTTCACCAGAAGAGCAAGTAGAACGTAGCACCTGAAGGAGCTTGCTGGGTGCTGAAGGCTGGAATAATGCCCTTTTTATAGCAGGTCCATCCAGGGAGGAGCCATACTCTGCAGGATGGTCTGATTCACTCCTAACCAAACCCAGACCCACCCATATCTCCACCTGTATTTCTCTAGCGAGGTGTTTACTTCCCAAATCGCTCACGTACTCATCTGTACTTGTCTTACCAAGTTCCCAATTTAGGTTTACATCATTCCCATATATTGGGGATTTTATGGAAGATTCCCTTTGGCTAGCATTGGCTCTTTGTGTGCAAGGTCCATACCTTCTGTGTTTTTTTGTTGTTGTAACCCCCACTTTGACTTGGTAGGTGCTTGATAAATATCAGTTATAAGCACACATCCTTATCCTTGTCGCTAGAGGTGTAGAATGTACACTTACGGAAACTCAAATTCAGTTTATGGTAGGAAGACATCACAAGTACCTACCTACATGTCCCTTTTTACCTGATAATTTTATTGCTGAATCCTGAGAGAACTTGCCAAGAAATGAATGTTGATCCTCTGGAAGTTATAATGAATGCAGAGAAGATAAACAAATTTAATTTTGATTTTTTTGAACGAGAGCAAGCAATTGGGCTCCTGATTAGAAGCAGTGATTGCTGGCGTGAATCTGTAAGGCAAGTATCACTAATCTTGTTTTCAAGATTATTACACTGGAGCATCAGAGACCTGTGCCACTTACTCTTCCTGTGGGTTAAACTATGGGTTTTCTCATTGATCCTCATAAATACACAGGAGACTCCTATCCTTGGCTACTCTCTTGATTTCCAGACTGTATGTTGCGCAGATTACATTTCCACTGGAATCTCCCCCAGTGACCCTAGGTCATGCTGTTCAACACTGAACTCATTCTCCTGCTTTATATCAAAGCATATTATCCTGCAGAAGTCCCCGTGTTGGCTAGCCGTACCTCCATCCACTGTGTGTCTAAAACGGTACAGAGTCATGTTTTGTTCCTCCCTCTTTTGCCCTCATGTTCATGTCATGACATGTCACTTCTACCTAGACTTGTGTTATTTTTTCTTCCCCTTGGGAGTGTATGAGTTTTAATAAGAAAATTTACTTGAAAAAGTACACTGGAAAACAGATTGACTCTTAAAACAGCAGAATACACGTGTAATGTATTTGTTTCATAATATGACAAAAAATACTCAAAAACATGTGAAAATGCTTGACTCTATTTAAAAAGTGCCCACAAGGATTTTTAGATTATGTTGAGAGAAGGCTCTTGGGAGGAAGAAGTATTGTACCCATATGAATCAAGAAAATGATCCTCCTTTTAGGCTTGTATTCTTAATATTCTAGCCTATTCTCTATTTAGGGCTGCAATTTTCGTTCTGGTCCTCACCATCTTTCAGTTGGATGTTAGTGAAAAGTGTCATGACTGGCCCCTCCACTATCAGCCTGCCTCATTCATCTTTTACTCTGATCTTACCATTCCTCTGCTGGCTCCTGCTTACCTGTGGAATTCCAGATTTCTTTATTTGACATATAAGCCCCTTCACAATCGGAATGAATCTGTATCTTTTTTAGCTGCTTCTCTTGCCACCTGTATTTTATGGGAAAAATCACTCTCGATTGGTCAACATTCCTTGGATGGTCTTTTAATGGTCCACCAACGGTTCAAAATCTCTGCTTGCTGTCCTACTATCTGGGGAGTCCCTCAGTCAGCTTCTCTTCATCCTTTGGGACCCTCCAGAATCATCACCTCCTTCATGAAGCCTTAGCTTGCATTTCCAGATCGATCACAGTTCCCTCACAGACTCTGTATTGATCTCTCCCATAGCACTGGTGACCTTTTATTTTAATTAATTGTTTATGTGTCTGCAGCAGCCCCCAACTTCCCAATTTTGTGTTTCTTCTCACCCTGGTATTGACTGGGCCTGAATCATCTTTTGTGTTCTTGGGCCCTTTAACAGTTCCTGAGACATGATCAAATAAGAAGTGCAAGGGTGGGGTGTGGGTGGGGGGGCAGTCTTCCTTAGAGCTGGTGAGATAGAAATGGGCTTGAAATTTTAAAACTTTGTTTAATGCCCTCATTTCTAACCTCTTGAGGCCACCACTTCTTTCTTTTGAGGATGACTAACATCCACAGAACCCAGGTCTGCATTTCCTCCTATTTTCTTCTTGGGTTTAATTGTCTTTTTGTGCCAGGAGTTACTGTTATTGTCTTTCTCTTATCAGACTATCAAATAGTAATAAGCTATTGCATGCCCATCAAGTGCCAAGAATGTGTTAAGATTTTGCATGTATTTCTTCCAACCCTCCGAACAACCCCATGAGGTCACTGCTATTATCCGTAATTTTGAGATCAGGGAACTGGTAGTGACAAGGTGCCCAAGATTACCCAGTGAGTAAGTTACAGAAGTCGGATTCACCCCAGGTTATCCTGATTCCAACTCCCTCATTATTTCCACTGACAGTGTTGCTCTGGGTGTGAACTTTTCTCCTTTTCTCAGCCTTATGTATATTTTTGGTGTTTTAAACAGTGGTTTCTCTCAAAGTACCCTGTGTCCGGGGTGAGCTTAACTGTGGAAACCATTGCAGGGGCAGCCGATAGACTAGATCATGCAGTGTGAGTTAGCTGAGGAAGGTGGAGTCCAGAGAGTGGCGTGGATGGGCTGTCTTCGATGTTCTGTTTAATGCACAGAAGACACAATTCTTGTACAGTCCTGTCTATATAGAGGTGAGTCCTTGTAGTTTGCTCCAAAACTGTTGTCTTGACCATGTTATGATCATTATATTTTTATCAGTAACTTGGATGAAAATGTGGGCAGATGGCAAATATTTTTAGGATAGACTGAGGATCCAAGGAGATTTTAGCATGTCACACCAGTAAGTCAAATCTAATAAAAATGAATATTATTAAAATGAAAGTAAATTCTGACTTCACCAGGACATTAAACTTCACAAGGACAGGGTAGAAGACCTGAGTAAAAGGAAGGGCATCGTGACCGTGGCGGTGTGATGTAGTAGCTGTAGAGGGAATGCTATTTCAGGTTGCATGAGAAGAAGCACGTTAACTAGAACAAAGTAAGTGGTGGTGTTCTCCGCTGGGCATTTGTCGGATTGTTTCCGTAGCTTTGTATTCAGTTCCGATGACTGCTTCTCAGTAGGGATGTGGACAACTTGTGTGTTTTGAGTCAAGTAAATAGGATGACTGGCTAGATGCGTGGTAAAGGGAACAGGATGAGAAACAAGTGGATGGGAGGTGCATTTCTGTTTTCCACAATATGAGACTCTGTTACTGTACTTGGGTTGTATAGAAACTCAGATAAATGGGTAGGGACTGTAGGGAAGCCTATTTTGACTTTGTATAGGAAGAACATTTTAATAGTCAGAATTGTCCAAAAATGAAAAGATTTATCTTTGTAGATAGTGAGTTCCCTGTCACTTCCTAGAAAATTTTGAGTTGGATGAGCTCTTGGCAGTCAATTAGTCTAGCTTCCTCATATTGCATTTGACAACTAGAAGATCCAAAGTTGCATGGCTGATAAATCAACAGTGCTGGACCCAGGCTTCCAACCCAGGACTTTTCATTCCAAATACTCTTCCCATTGCACCAAGTTACATCTGTTACTGGGAGATGAGCATGAGACAGGGATATGTCAGAGGGTTGTTAAGGAGGGAACATTGGGTGGATGTCTGATAAATCCCTCTTTCCACCTGAGAGTTATGAGTCTATGATTCAAGTAGATTTCTTTGATCCAGCTTAGATAGCTATTTGATTAGTGCAGTTTAATAACTGCAGGGATAACAGGACTGTACATTGTACTTTATGGTAGATTTCACTATTCCCTCTGTCTGTCTGTCCTGTCTGTCTGTCTAGCATATATATTTAGGGTATATTACCATACCTTACTCTCTGCCAACACACCTGATCCCTCTTGCATATTCGCTTTTTAACTTTAAGTCCTAAAACTCTTTCCCCCTAAACCTTTAAAATTACTGACCATGGAACAGTGAACTCTGAGATGTGGGGCACCTTCTCTGTCCTCAGAATTTATTTTTTGCCTCATCTTTACAAGACAGTTAAGTGGCTTCAGAGGCATTTTAGGTGTCCACAGCTGTATTTTGTGGCTACCAGGATTTGTTAAGGGGTGAAGAAAACTCCCCAAATGTCAGGAGTTATTGACAAATCAGAAATTACAGGATTTCAGCCGCAATCATACGTTTGTGGTTGTCCCTCCCTTTTCCTACCCAATGGGCTGGGAAGGCACTGTGTTGCCATATGGCCTCTGGGCTGCTGAAGTGGGTCAGGTTGTCACGATTCAGGGACCAGCCCTTTGCGATGTGTGACTGAGGCTGTAGGAGTGAAGGGGAGTTGGAATTTGTGGTTAAATGATTCTCACAGGAGCTGTAGTCATCTCCTGGGAGGTGCTGTTTTGGAGGTGGGATTTCTCCAGGCTGAATATTCTCTTGGATTCTTTGGCAAAGTTGTAGCTCATGTGCCTGCTTCACTGCCTAGTGGGGGAGCAGCATCCAGCAGGAGCGCCTCTGCTCATAGCTTGTGTTTACCAGGGCAGTGATGAAGGAAGTAACGTTGATCCCGAGGAACAATTTCAAGTTGCCTCCAGTGACTTCAGGTTCTTACATTAGTCGTGTGTGTGTGTGTTGTATGTGAGAGAGAGACTGAAAGGAGGGGAGGGATATGTGGGCAGAATGAGAGTGAGAAAGAGCTTTTTCCAGATGTACACAAGCCATTTTATGCCAATCTGGATTGCCTCTCAGATATGTAAACATGCCCAACATATGGACAAGTTGGACATTGAGAACAGAATTGAAGGAATCTTGTGGCAGAAGTGTAGTATGGGATGTATGCTTATGTATGTTTAGCACGTCATTCCAGCTACTCAAAATGCAGGCCTCACACACACACACACACACACAATGAGAAACTGGGTGAGAGAGACAGTCAGAGGAAACGACGATTAAAGACAAGTCTTTTGGATAGTGGAGGAATCTTTTCCAGGAGGACTTATATCGATAAGATGTTATTTTTCTAAAACCCTGGTGGTTAAAAAACCCCTCTCGTACAACTACAGAGCTGGCCAGAGGCTCTCTAGGGTGGAAAG